TTCTCATTTTTACGGAACGATATCGATTCTTAAATCCCAAGAATCGATTATTCTAGCCTGTTTTCAGTCAATGGATGGAACATTGAAGCACACCTCCCATCCAATAAATCGCAATAAGCATTGTGCTTTGGTACTTTTAATATGAAACAAAGTCTCAGATTTCAAATTCTGTCCATTGTATTGCAGTATTTAAACAATAAATGCCGTTTTGGCGCTGTTTAATGTGAAGTGACAGATCGCTGTAGCGCCTCAGTTCAACAGACGAGGCAGCGCGAGGCGCACGTGAACTGATCATCTCCTCCACATTAATACCAGTTTCAGCACAAAATAAACATGACTAAACATCCGAAGGTAAGTTAAAAGAAAGAGTACAACTTCACAATCCGTATCCTGTCTCAAGTAATCGCTCAATCAGTGTTTCAGCCGCGCAAAGACGTCAATATAATGGCTTGTAAACAATGTCACGTAACGTCACATTTACCACAGAAAAAATATTCGGTGACCATAAATTCATTAGTCAGACAGAAAAATAAACTGTAGAGAGGGCTTTTTTTGCTTAATATATGCACCATATAACATATTCATTATGTTTTTTAATGTTCTTCAATGTTTAATTTATGTTTGAATGAATCCATCAAGTTTTTATGACAGCCACCATTTAAATGTTTATATTTCAAAAAAACGAATTGAAGTAAAAATATTATGTAACTGTAACTTTATTATTGTAAAAACTTCATTAATCAGTCAATTTTAACCTTCAGTATTATAGTAATGTAGTACCAACTGACTCTCATGTATATTTTACAGCATTAGTTGAGATTTTTTTTTTCCTTAAGAAAATTTGGCATGTACTGTACCTGATATATATCCAAAATAATCGATATTGAATCGAATCGGTAATCGAATCGAATCGCAAGCTTGTGAATGAGAACCGAATCGAATTGTGAAATTTGTGTCAAAACCCAGCCCTAGTAACCAACATAGCATGCATTACAGTACAGAATCCTATTAAATATTTTCCGCCTCATTCTATGAAAAGAAGCCACATCAGATAACAAAAGCAAGTCATTTCAAACACTCGACTGATGTTATGGAGTAAAAATATGTTACTTAATGTGTATTTACTTGGACAACAGGTTCATTAATGTTTCTCATTATACTGCGGTGTAATGAGCATCCAAAATAATTTTTTTTAGGTCTTTTTCTTTTTGAAGAACTATCCCCTTAAAATAATTAAGCAGCTAGGTGGGAGCACCAACACACATCCCAAGTTGGGGACATGTAACCAAACACCATACCACACCTGTTTTCCTGGCAGTGTGATGCTACTTTGGCATTCAGACTGGAGGCACAGCAATGTTAAATATCATCTCCTGCAGAGCAGTCAGCATCATGTCAACATGCGGGGAAAGAAAAGACTTTAATGTCGCCCATGCTATTTACATAACCTTCAGCTAGTGTTAATTTCGTTAACGAAGACTATGACGAAAAATGTTAGTTATCGAGCTTTTTTCCCATGACTAAGACGAGACTAAGACGAGACGAAGACGAGACGACAATAAGGTCGATAAACGATAACTAAGACTATATCAACATGCAATTTCGTTGATGAAATAAGACGAGACTAAAATGTATTCAAAAAGATAAAAACTTTACCAAAAACCTCTTTTTATTTTCGTCAAAAAAGGAGACAATATGTTATTGCAGACTGCTCTACACGCCTCTACTAC